CCTCAAAGTAGAATAACCTTCAAACATTTTATTAACTTCTACACTTATTATACTGTGATTGATAGGACTGATGCAATGCTCTTGCACAAGCTTGAAAAGGAAAACTGTTCACACTCAATTGAAAGTACAAAGAAAAGTATGTCACATCTAATACTGAATGTGAATGAACTCAGTTATGAAAGTTAGTAAGGGGATATGTGCCTGGCTTCCCATAGATATCACTATGTTGCAGAAAGACACATGAACATTGTGCTATCAAATCAGAGCACCACATCTTCAACGATGCTACCTAACAACCATGTGTTTTACAACAGCTCCATTTGTGCATCAATTAAATGTTCTTCTACAGACCTCAGAAAAGACATGAGTTCCAATTTTAAGTTATCTGGGTCCAAGTCCTATTCTGCTTACTATCTGTGAGATCACAGTTAACTTACGCAAGCTTTCTGTGCCTCAGGTTTCATTTTCACTAAAACAGGAGTTATAACAAACACTAACATTTTTTAAAATGGGGAGTAGGATGGAAGATTAGTACAGTGTCTGGCATATGATGAGTCCTCAACAAATGTTAGGTATTATTATTAAACCGTCTTGTTTAAAAGTAAACTAACCCCCTACATCCTCTTTTGACTTACCTACCTTTGAAAAGTGTAATGAAGTAAAATATCAACGGTCAAGTAGTAGAAAGAAATACAAAATAATAAAATGGTTGGATTTATTAGCAATATGGATAAACAGAAGTTAAATTAATAGTAGCAATATACCAGGATTTACTCAAATATTCCAACATGTGAATCCCTTCCTTCTCCCTGTCACTCCTTTACTACCATACCATGATATTATTTTTAAAAATAAAGATATAAAGTATAAAAAGAATGTAAAAACAGGGGGTGAGAAAAACTATTCAATAAAAATGGGAATTCACCTAAACCAGCCCTGATTATTTCATATTTTTGATGGTTCTTGAACAACTCCAAAGAGACAACCCTTCAAAAAAGAGACTAAAGTGCTATTTACACTTTAGTGTAAAGTCAGAATTTTTAAAAATAAATTTTTTCTAACAGAATACCAATTCACATACCCTACAAAATGGATTACATGAAACAAGAGAAAAATCACTCTTAGTAGCATGAAATAACCAAAACTATTTTTCTAAAAATTGTTATCACTGTAACCCAAGGGAACATAACAAATTTAACAGAAATAGAAAGTTATAGAACAAATGATTATTTAACAGTTTTACTGAGTGATATATTATTTTGCATTGAGAAATTAAAACTTAGGGTATGTCATGAATCCTCTATGTCATGAAGGTAAAATTTTATTCAAAATTTTGATAGAATAATATGACTTGTGAAATGAACTACACTTTAATCAATAATGGCAGGAAAAATAAAACTAACAAAAGCAAAAATACAATTATAAGGAATTTAAGGATGCAATATCCCAAAAAGTAATATATATACTAGAATAAAAAGCATAATACTAAAAAGATATTAGGAACAACAGTTTAAAAATTTTTAAAAGGAGGAGATAAAGCAATGATTTATTATGAAAGGTACTTGAACAAACTAGCAGGCAGTCATACACCTCAATTCCCACAATTACCAGAATGTTAAGAAACGAGAGCGCCTCACTTTTAGCCATTCCATCTAATAATTTTAAATGTTAATAAAACTCTGAAACAAAAATGACAGACATAAAATTAAGGTAACAATAGGAACTCAGCCTAAATGGTAGGATCAAGATCAAAATGATGGATCACTCTCTTCTGCATCTCTCATTCTTACATCCCTTGATCAGGTACCTGCCAACTGAACATGCTCATTAAAGGTTTTCTGAGTTGCTGTATGGATTGATGGAAGGGAGGGAAGAAGGAAGGAAAAGAGTAATAATCATAAATGTTATCTAGATAGTTATTTTCAACCTTTAGTCTGCGTAACAATAAAACCTAAGAAGTCTGCTTAGCCCAACCCCCTAATTCTAATTCATTAGCTCTACGATGGATCCAAAATCTACATTTTAACAATTACCCCAGGTGATCCTGCTGCAAGTAATCCATGGCCTCTAGAACACCATTTCCAAAGCTGCTTCATATGGTACTCTATGCTACAATAAAATATGTGTCCTGAAAAAAGTGCTCTTGGATAAACTAAGTTAAGAAAAAGGATGAATAAGGAAAATTAATCATTTTTCTAAACAGTAGTATTTCTCATAGCTCCAGTATGCATTTGAAATCCTTCAAGAGACAAAATAACCACACGACATTTACTAAAATTACTGGCCATAGAATCCTTTCTTATGTTTTATCCACCAATATCTACCTACAAGAAGACTAAAACTTCTACACAAAAAAACTATAGACAAAGAATAAGATGAAAGGAATTGGACTAAATTAGAAAATTTAAAACCTTCTTTATAATTCTAGGCTGGAGAAGTAGACAGGTAAATCAGAAAAAAATAAGATCCTCTTTTATCTTAAGTAATACTGAACTATGGGCATACAAATGTCACTATAATATGCTCAAAATTTCCCTCTATATGATAACTCCAAAGTTAAAGATGATAATACTAGTCCTAAAGATTCTTTTTAAACAATAAGCTAGAAAAAATGTTTCCTAAGAGGATAATCTTTGTAGCCATAGACATATGAAGTAATCACAGCTTTTCTCTAAGATTGTAAGAATAGCTGTATTGGCATCAAACAGTTACAGAAGATATTTTAGAAACAGAAACAACCAGGCTTATTTAAAGAAGGAAAATTCTCTCTAGTTCATTTGTGAACAAAACATTTGTGAAGCCTAAAAAGTGTTTTAAGATGGTGGGAATTAGAAATAAAACTACTTCAAGTTGATCAATTTAGAGCATCCAAAATTAACTATTTCAATTATCTAAGAGATAACAATTCCCAGATTTGCCTCATCAATTTCAAATAAACCCCCAACACAAAACTTAATAATCTAGGTGACTTCTCTTAAATAAGATCTTTTAAATGATTACAATATAGATGGTTACTATATTAACCATTAAAATTAACCATTAAAAAAGAATTAAAGAAAACTTTTGAGAAAACTATTACTTTAAGGAAAAAAATAAAGACTCCAAAACAAAACAGGCAACAAAACAAAGGATGACAACAACTCCTAAAAATATCTTTACCTCTCCCTCAGGGGGAGGCAGATTTTTGAAAAGAGTCTGCCTTGGCTCAAGGTAAGAAAGTAAAAAATGTCTCCCCTAAGAATCCATAACTGCAAGCCAGCCCTCCTGGGTCTGGAGCAGAAAGTCACACTACTCGTGTAATGGAAAAGACACACAAGCCAAACTTTTATTAAAAGTGATCCTAGGTGGGAAGAGCTCCCAGGTACCTGGTAATAACAAATATAAACGCTTTCTGGAAGAAGTTCTTTAAACTCTACCTCAAAGAATTTCCAATGAGAAATAGGCTAACAACCTGATGGAAAAACTGGAAAAGACTTGCATAAGCCTTGCATATAAGTTTCCTAGAAGAGGAAACACAATTGACCAAAAATATACAAATAGATGCTCGAAGTCTTTGCATTGAGGGAAATGCAAAATAAAATGATGATATATTATTTTACATGTATCACATTGGAAAGCATTATAACATTGCACAAAATAAGTTTGAGAGCAACAGTAACATTATTCATTGCTGTGTGAACAAAGTTTTTGGACCCCCTCCTTGGTCTAAGAGGCAAATCTAGCAAGCGAGCTGCATAAGCTTCAAGCCAGTACAAAAATCGACACTGTACTATGAAGCAGCTGTGCAGGCCATCTTAAGTCTGTGTTCAGAATGACTTTGGAACCCCCTACCTCATGACTGAAGGTGCCAGCGGGAGAGATCAACAAGAAAAGATAAAGGGTACTTTGCTCTCACATTTCCCAGCCGCATTTCTTAGAGAATGAGGGGGAAAGTAACGACCCTGGTCCTTGACTTTGCTTTGCAAAAAGTTCTTGTTTATGCCATCTTTGAAGTATATGAATATTAGATGTGTAAGCCCTTTCCTGTACATACACTCCTGTGTTAAAAAGTATGTAAACTGCACTCAGATCTGCAGACCTCAGAGCAGTTCCTCAGAATACTGTTGGGCTGTTTCCTTGGACTTAAGTTCCTCATTTTGATTATCAGATAAACTCCTTTATTTAACCTTTACTTAGACTCTATTTCAGTCGACAGCTGGTAGGAGAGTAAACTGGTTTGGAAAACATTGGAATTATCTACCAAAACTGAAGATGGAGACGTCCTATAACTAAGCAAATTCACATCGTGGCATATACCCTAATTTCTTGTTACCACTGCAGGAGACATTTACAAAAATATTTAAAACAGAGTTGTTCATAGAACAAAAGAGCTGGAAACAACAAAACTGCCGATCTATAGAACAAAAGATAAAATAAATAATGATCTATTCTTTCAACTAAAAAGTACAAGTTAGTGAAAATAAAGGAAGTGAAACTATACAGATCAGCCTGTATGAATCAAATCAATATAATGTTGGTCACAGGATCTAATAACAGAAGAAAAAAATTGACTTCATTCATACAAAATTCAAAACCTGCAAAACTCGGTATTATTTATAAATACATACATTTGATGTGTAAGTATAAAAAAAGAAGAGAATGAGAAATATAAAGTTGAGGAAGGAGGTGACCTCTGTCTGGGCTAGATGGATGGGAATGTGATTACCGAGGGATCCACAGGGGACTTCAAAGGCTTTGGTAATGTCCTATTTTTGAAGTGGGTTGGTGGATACAATAGGTGTTCATTACTATTATGCTTTAAGTTGAATATATAAACTATAAATTCTCAGGTATGTATGGTATATTTCATAATGTAAAACAATAAACTCAAGAATAACCAACAGCAATGTACACGTTTCTTCTTTTGCCTCCTAAGTATATGTTCACCCTTTGTCTTTCTCACCTCTTAAATTCTGGCCTTAGAATTTTGTGATGCTTATGATTAATAGGGAATAAATTACCGTGTTTCTTATTGGAATCTTCTTAGGTTCTGGAGGCATATCCTGTGGAACAAATTTCACTGGTTCCTTAATCTGCCTCCTTGATCGTTTGGTCCCATCTGGTAAGGTTTCCATGGCCATGTCTGCTTCCATGTCACTGCTCCCCGCCTGGTCACATTCTGAACACTGCCTAAATAAAGAAAGAAATCTAAGTTCACACATTTATTTTTACTTCCTAGCATTAGCTATGGTTTCTAAAAATACAAAATTTAGGTATATATGAAGAATGTATAGAGATATACATGGGTATATGTGATCAGAAAGTATACAATGACTATATATACAGAAAGGCACACACACTGCTATAAAAATGACAATAGTAAATATAATATATAAAGCAATTCCATGTATTCCTTTAAGTATCATAGAACACATACAATAATGCTATATGTTTAAGTGAACCAATATAAGAGATTTAACATTGATTAAAAAGGTAGTTTTCCTTTGGAAATCATGACTTTTCTTTAAGTGACATATACTGTGGTACCTGAAATCAAAGTCATTCCCTGACTCTGACACTACTGCTTGTCACATCTATATCATCTTTTAATCTTAAAGACAAGCTGTACTAGAGTTTATCAACTAAGAAAACTCTGTAGAAAAAGACTCTAAGAAGTGTTGAAAAAAATAAATCAATCATTTTAGTTGGTGGCTCACACAAAAAGAGGAAATATAAGTCTACTTATTGAGACAATATTTTAAAGCAGCATTTTTAAAAATGGGAGGCTCATTTTTAAAACTGGGGCGGCCCCCAGTGGTGTAGCAGTTAAGTCCACACACTGTGCTTTGGGTAGCCCAGGGTTCGCCTGTTTGGATCCCGGGCACAGACCTACACACCGCTTATCAAGCCAAGCTGTGGCAGGTGTCCCACACATAAAGTAGAGGAAGCTGGGCACGTATGTTAGCTCAGGGCCAATCTTCCTCCAAAAAAATAAAAAATAGGTGGGGGGAATATGGCAGAATAGAAAGCAACAGGAATCTGTCTCTCCACCTAGAAAACAACTGCACTGGCAGAAATCTTCCGATGTAACTTTTTTGGAACTCTGGAGTCTATTGAAGGCTTGCAACTTTCAGGGAAAGGCTTACACAGGTAAACCGCAGTTAGTTTCGGTCAATTTCAGCTCTTGGTACAGTAGCAGCTACCCATCCCCCACCCCAAGCTATACAGCAGGCAGTTGTGCACATGTTCCTACAGTAGCTTGCACACAGCTGGTAAGTGCCAGTGTGGACAAAACAAACCCTTTCCTCCAAATACTAGGGATCTGTGCTCTGATCGCTGACTGCTGCTTCTGATCACAGTAGTGGAGACAAAGAGGTGGGTGACCTCACCCTATCATTGCAATCCCCTCCCTCTTGGTCTGAAGTGACTTCCAGGACTTAAAAGACTGGAACTCTTTATCCTTCATCTTCATTTTTCTCTTTTTCCTCTTTCGGAGCAACACATTAAAAGACTAGGACATTCAAAAATAAGTACTTTTATGGGAAAAATTAGAAAGTTACTACGCCTGCCGAGGGAAAGGCTCAGAAAAGATATGAGAAGACCATAAGTTTACACCTCAGGCTGATCCTCAGCACAGACACAGCCTACAAGAATAACAAATAAACAGTAACAACAAAAAACAGTAACAAAACACAGCAAACCCTGGGGGTGAAGCAGAATCTCATTTCCAGAGTTACCACCTCATTAAATTCAAATGTCCAGTTTTTGACAAGAAAACACAGGATATTCAAAGAAACAGGTAAGTATGGCCCATTTAAGGGAAAAAAAGTTAAGTAACAGAAACTATTCAGAAGAAGACCTGATGGCAGATCTACCAGACAAAGACTTTAAAACAACTGTTTTAAAGACACTCAATGGACTAAAGGAGGTTGTGAAGAAAGTCAAGAAAATAATGTATGAACAAAACGGAAACATCAATAAAGACAGAGAAAATCTAAAAATAAACCAAAAAGAAATTCTGGAGCTGAAAAGTACAATAACTCAAATGAAAAATTCATTAGAGGGATTAAAAGGCAAATTTGAGTTGGCTGAAGAATCAGCAAACTTGAAGATAGGACAATGGAAATTATCAAGTCTGAGGAACAGAAAGAAAAAATATTGAAGAAAAGTGAAGAGAGCCTAGGTACATGTGGGACATCAACAAGTGAACCAACATTCACACTGTAGAAGTCCCAGGAAAGGAGAGAGGGGGGCAGAGAGAATGCGTGAAAAAATATGACTGAAAACTTTTTCAAATTTGATGGAAGATATGAATATAAACATCCCAGAAGCTCAACAAACATCAAGTAAGATAAATTCAAAGAGTCCCATGCCAAGTCACGTTATAATCAAACTTTCCAAAGAGAAAGACATAGAATCTTGAAAGCAGAAAGAAAGAAGTTCAGAATCGTCACACACAAGAGATTCTTAATATCAGCAGATTTCTCATCAGAAACTTTGGAGGCCAGAAGACAGTAGGTCAGTATATTCAAAGTGTTAAAAACAAAAAACAAAAAATAAAACTGTCAACCTAGAATCCTACGTCCAGCAAAACTGTGCTTCAAAAGTGAAAGAGGGGGGTCAGCCCTGTGGCATAGTGGTTAAGTTCACCACGCTCTGCTTTGGCAGCCCAGGTTCGAGGATTTGGATCCTAGGTGCAGACCTACACCACCCGTCAGTGGCCATGCTGTGGCAGTGACCCATACACAAAATAAAGGAAGACTGGCACAGTTATTAGCTCAGGGTGAATTTTCCTCAAGCAAAAAAGAGGAAGGTTGGCAATAGATGTTAGCTGAGGGGGAATCTTCTTCACACAAAAAAAAAAAAATTGAAAATAACCAATGACTAATATTAAAAGATAATTAAAACTGAAACCTCAGTCTGGATTAGTGCCGTCCAACAGAACTTTATATGATGTGAGAATTACTTATATCTCCACTGTCTAATACAATAACCACTAGCCATTTATAGGCATTGAATACTTGTAATGTGGCCAATGTGACTGAAGAACTGATTTTTAAATTTTAATTTTAACTAATTTAAATTCAAATAGCTACACATGGCTAGTGGCTAACATCTGAACAGCAGAAGTCTACACAATGACTGTTGGAAATCTTTATATTGCCAATTATAAACGCCCATTTCAAAAATTCATAACAAGTTGTTAAAAGTAAATTTTTTTCACATATTTTCTTTAAACTTAAAAGAATGATCAGAAAGTAATTCTCTAAAAGTCCAATTTATAGTATTTTCTTTATAAAAATGGTTATAATGCATAAAATTATATCTGATATTTAGTTTACATGTGTTTATATCAGTACCCTTGAATGCAACTTATAATTCTCAAGTATTTTCAAAGATCTATCATTTGAATTCATGCTCCATCAAAATTTGCATCACTCACTCATTAATAAACTTAATATCAAAGTAATATTTATTTTTAAAAAGTAACAGCTTTAAATTTTGAACTCCAATAACAGTGTTAAATACAAAGTGCCATTTGTGTTACTACACATTAATTGCTAAAATGCACATTAATATTTAAGGCATTAATTTTAATATCTTAAAATTCCCATCTATTTAAGCAAAATTGTTGAATAAAAATTTTAACACTAAAAAAATTGGCCAGCGACCAGCCCAGTGCCCTAGTGATTAAGCGAGCATGCTCGGCTTCTGCAGGCTGGGGTTCACAGGTTCGGATCCTGACCGCGGACCTATACACAACTCATCAAACCATGCCGTGGTGGCGTCCCATAGACAAAATAGAGGAAGACTGGCACGAATGTTAGCTCAGGGACAATCTTCCTCAGGCAAAAAGAGGAAGATTGGCAACAGATGTTAGCTTAAGGCCAATCTTCCCCACACAAAAAAAACTGGCCAATAAGAGAAAAAACAAGGAAGTAATTTGTCATGTGGTACTTAAAAATTTTTACATATCTATTGCTAGAACAACCAAGCACTTTATTCCTTGGATTCACAGATTATCATCAAAATAAAAAGACAACTAAAGTATAATACACTAATTGTTTCTGTTTTGTCCCATATGAAAAGCTGAAAGGCTGGTATGAGAAGTAAATAAATACCTCACCGATCCTCCTAATTGAAATGGTGAGTATATTCTGAAATAATCTATTGGCAGTGTTAAATTGAGAAAACCCCACAAATGTTAGACATTATTAGTGAATAATAATAAACACGACGACGATCAAAACAGAAATGCCTATGGAAAGATATCAAATTATAGCACAGAAAAGAATCAGTTCCTTGCATATACAGCATGTAATCTTAATACTAAGTGATCACTTCTACCAGTTGAAGTGAAATGTAGTCAGTTTCACACAAGTTCCAATTCACTTTTAATACACATGAATTTCTGGGATACAGAAACAAGTACCTTTTTAGGATGAATCACTGTTTGGGTTTTCTTTTTAATTAATTATTTCTCCCTTCTTTTCTGATTTTGTGATGATATTGTCAGGACATTCTCTACCTTCTCAACCCCCCCAAAAGTAATACATTTAGGTGACATACAAACGCGTTGAGAGTACTCAGATAATGAAAATGTTATACCCCAAACACACAAGGCATTGAAGAACTTACAAAATCAAAACAAAATGTTAACTGCCAATGCAGCAAATTATCGACTCCTATTTCAAGACAAGTGACATACGATACTTGTAGTACACAGAATCAAGATAGACGGACATGCTACTTGCAACTTTTTCAACAATCTATTAAACATTACAGTCTCCATCTTATAAGTATCCTTTAAGATACAAAAAAGCGTCTCTGCTACATTAATCAGTACACAAGATCCCAAGAAATAATAACCTAGGGTAAAGCCATGCCTGTCCAATTCAATGAAATTAAATAATATTTTGGGGGAAAGTCATGATTATCTTTCATACTGCCAAACACATACCTGATTTCTTTTAATAACCCATAAGCTTCCATTATCCATGAATTGAGCTAACCTCACTTTAATCCTGTATACTTTTACTTAATATATTCTACTAAGGAAGAGAATCCTGTAATTTATTATTTGCATATATGATACTAAAGATAAGGTAACCTTAAGTAATGAAAACATTCAATTAAGTAAAAATGGATTTTTAAAGTATAAATAATAAAAATTCATGCCCAGAATTTAT